TGACTTGCCGTTTTCACTTACATGGAAAAAAATTAAAGGCTGGTATATTATTTTTTAACGTTTTTTATTAACACACTTAAATTCCACATAACCTATCATATATATATATATATATATACTAACAATTATTACTACCATGTACATATGAATGATTATTATTTGTCCTCAGATTTATATATTTTTCCTAATTAGTCTTACATTTCTAAAAGTCTAACACTTGAAATATATTTTAACGAGTGCTTATTTTACACATACACAACTAAATTTAGGGAATGAATATGGCATGTATACTGTCTAGGTTAAAATGTCTTCATCCATTATTCTCATGTTTTCCAAGAAAATATGTTTTGTACAAGGATGGCAGGACCTATAGAACTCAATACACTGATTTCCATTAAAATGTAAAATAGATGGAAACTCATTAAGGAGAATTATTTTGTGTTGTGTATTAAAAGTATCCAAATAACTAATCCAAGCCACTGAACAGAACTTTTACTACACTGAAATTGGAAATTTTCATATTAAGAATGAAAGGCATGCTTTAGGCTCTTATGTTTTATTTTTTTTTTGTCACTCAAAACCTTTGAATTACTATTACCTGCAACGGCGCTTTTCACTTTAAACACTATAAATTAAAAGAAAAGTTTGACATGTGTTAACTTTCGTATTTTTCTTTTCAATATAGCATATGGTTTACCGTGGACTAAGGTATTTAAAAGAAAAAAAGAAATTATAATGATGCGGGTACACCTTTGTATTTTAGCTGTTTTAATATCACAATTACCTTATTATCAATGAAGAGGTCAATTGCCTAAAAACTAATACCAAGGGTAATTAGGTGAAGAATAACCTAAAACAGGGTCACAATTCCTTTTATGAGTTTAAATAACCAAACGGTTTAATTGAAATACACTAAACCTTAGAAGGTATTACCTATGATTAACCAAAATCTTATTATAAAAGAGATGAAGATTACTGACAAATAGAAAAATAATACAAAAGAAGCTTAAAACTAGCTCTTAGTGTCCCTTTCGCTTCGAAAGTATAGAGCCGTAAAAGTTCTTGCGGAGTAATTGCATTCTTGATTACAGATAGAGGGTTCAAACCACGAGTGTTAGTGCATTCCTTTAGTATAATTGGATTGCAGGGTAATAAGAACCGACAATAATCAACTTGTCAGAGATAACTAGATCGCGAATTGCCTTCTTGGTTATCGATTCAGGATTCAAACTAGGAGTGTAAGTGCATTTCTTCGTTATAATTGGGTCTTCCCTTGGATTCTCCTGTTGAAGAAAACCGAGACTTGTCTTGGAGCCATTGTTTCCAAAACCCAGGATGGGAACTAGAGATTACGCCTACATTCCCAAAATCACTAATTAACTGGTAAATATATGAGTCAACTAGGGGAAAAGACTGTGCAATGCGCAGGAGTGAGTACCTATGTTATAATTTGTTATGTATCACGAGATTAAGAAAGTAAAAAATGCTATCAATATCAAAAGAAAATGAAAAAGTATAGTGATTTTTAAATGCACAAATGGAATAAAAAAACACTAATTTGTTTAAGTGGAGAAATGTAAAAGTAACCAAATGGTCATTTAATCACATGATCATAAGTCAGTAAGAATTTTTACAAAATTTACTGTGAAAACATTTATAAAAAAAAAAAAATTGAATCACTTTTGTCCTTTCAATTGTAATGATTAGAAAGAAAATCATACAACTATTTGTAAATCCTTTACTCTAAGATTGAACTATTTCAAATTGTAACTTATTTCTCCTCAAGTAATCAACAAACAGGAGCCCCTAGCCATAAAACTATCACATGCTTAGATATTTAGGAATGTTTGGTGTGCTTTTGTTACTTAGTGCCTATTTATGTTTCCCCTACCATAACTACTGCAATTTAACTGACACAGAGGCTTGCAGATAAGTTGAAAAGGACAATATAAGACTAATTAGCAAGTCTAAATTGCATAAAACAGTTGCAGAACACAATTGTAATTCTAGTACAGCAACGCATGAACACCAATAATGCATTAATTAATTGGAACAATTGTTTTAGGAAGTACCTTGATCACAAAGCTGCTGCTGGACAAATCCCTTGCCTCACAGTTGTACCTCAGTTGCTGGCAAACATGAAAATTCAAGAATACAGTTACAAATATAATAACCACTTTTAAACTGCACAATATTGTCACTGTTTCATTCAGGAATTCGATATATACAGAGATAGTATCTACCTGAAAAACATAGTGCAAGAAACCTTGCCTCTTCAAGGACCACCTTGGTAATATAGAGTTTAAGCAACTCATGCAACCGTACTCTGTGTTAATGTCCTTCATTATTCGGGTTGCTAAAAAAAACTGCTTGACAAATGCTTCAACAAAGCAAAAAACATTCAGTTTCTATTCAGACGTTTCCAACAGGTCCCTCATCTTCCATCCATTACTATTGTAATAAAGAAGCCATAATTGCTCACTCTAAAGATCCAACTCCTTACATCTGCTGAATTCATTTTGTGAAAAATTTAGAAGAGAAAAAGCCAGCAGTTACACTTCCACTATAAAGGATTGAGTTAATGTTCTTCTCAATGCATTCATGTGCGCGTAATGATGCTCCAATTATTCAATGTAACCCCTAGATCTCTTTGCAGAAACTCAATGACTTGCATGACGATTTGCAGCAATTACAAATCAATGGTAACGGCTACTTAGAAGCGCAAAGCTGAAGCAGTGTAAGCATCAACCCACTAAGGGTAAAGTGGGTAATGCACACAGCAATGAACATACAACGCTAGTACTATACCGTTAATGACTTGTACACTCGGGCTGCATAACCTAACTTCACCCTCGAAAAGGTCAGATGAAAATTATCCAACAATCAAACAACTCCTTTATATATATATACATATATATATATATATATATATATATATATATATATGATTCGCAACGTTCGTGAGGACTTTATTTGGACTCTTCAATTTTTTTATTTTTTTTATTATCATCATTGTAAGATTTAGAATAACTTTTTAAATTGAAAAAAAAAAAAACCTGCCTATAGGATTTGCAAGGTGGCGTTCTAACTCACAAAAATATTGCTTCACCTTTATTTTCATCAAATTTGAAAAAAAAAAACCAAGAACATGAGTGAGCAAAGGGGAAAAATTGATCAAACAGAAACTTATTAACGACTATTATCGTGTCTTATATTTTGAAGCATCCAACTTCCACGTAGTCATGGTCATCAATTAAAGGGTAAATAACATATAACCCTCTCTATGGTTTCGTTTATTGCTACATGGCCCCTCTAATATTTCAAGATATCCATTTCACTCACTTATGGTTTTATATAAAGTGAAAAGTTGATAGAAAATAACCTATGTAATGTCGTTAATTGAAATACCAATAGTACCCTTATTTAAATGCCAAATCTATTGACAACCAACTATTTTTTATAAAAGCATAAGGGGATTATATGGATAAATGCAAAATTCAAAAGAGAGTAAAGTGGATATTTATATTTATACAAACCATGAAGGAGTTATATGCAGATTAAAATTTTACCACACGTGCTTTTAGAGCGCTTTTGGTATAAACAGTGTAAGTGATTGTGCATTCCATCCATTTTCTACTTTACATAAAACCATAGAGAGGATATGTGGCTATTTTGAAACCATAGGGGGCCATCTGACACTATGTAAAATTGCAGGAGATTATAAGTAATTTACCCTTAATTAAATTACTTTAATAGAATTTCAGAGTCTTAATCTAATAGTTTGTAAGAGGCCATTTATGCAGATCTTTAAGAAAATTCAACGGCAAACATGCAACAATTGACACTAGTATGGAGTTCTAGATCAGATCATACATGGGATATCTTAACCTGTTTGCATAGATCATATTGGCACGTACATAACTTGATGGTAAAATATTGGAAACGAAGAACTATCTCTCAAAAGATACACAGGTCTGTGACTTTCATTGAAGAACCATGGTTCATGTACAGAGTTTGTTACTGTTGCTTCACATGACATTTTGCTTGCGCTTTTGGGCTTTAATCTATATAAATCTCTTAATTTGGTCTCTACTGTTATTGTTCAATAGCTCAATTAGTACTGGGTAAAATTGGGTGCTCATTTTGCTTCCTTAAATTTTCTTTTCCATTATAGCATAAAAATTTTGTTTTCTCCATAATCCCCTTTATATTTTGCATAACTTGGACACAGAATTGAGGAAACCAGGAATTCCAAACCATCCAATCGGAGACACCAGATGCCCTGTAGGTAATAAAGATCTTCGTTTTGCAAAATTAAAGTGCCACTTCCCTTTCCTCCTTTGCAAGGTTTGAAGTTTCCTCTTGAACCAAAAAAAAAGAAAAAAGAAAAAGAGAGTTGTTTTTATGCCTAGTTGTCTAGATTTGAGAAACTTATAATCATGTTTAACTATATTGCGCACCATCAAATCTATAGTAACTTCAAAATTTCTTGACTTCGATTCTCAACATATATTTGAAATGATCTGAAGGCTTCATGGATTGATCTAATTAGTCATCTCATAGATTTTTTTCTCTTTTTTTTTTATTGAATTGGGAATTTCAGTTCCACTAAGTATTACTATTACAAGGGATCTAAAGATCAAACATATGCCTGCAGCCTTGAATACTTTATACATACATCAAAGACATCTATGATATGGTTGGTGGCTGTGGTGGGGTGGCATGGTGATGAGGACACTACAACAAAAATGGCTTTTCCTGACATGTCTATAAGAACACTTGTTGGTTTGTGTCATTATAGCACTTTTATTACGACATTTGTTATCAACTCAATAATATACACTCTATTTTTTTTTATTTTATCTGATATAAGAATAATAATGTGCCTTTAGACTACCTATCATGACACTTGAGAAAATGTGAGATATACAAAAAAAAAAAAAAAAAAGGCACAAAACAACATCATATATAGTGAATTGGCGGAAGATTCATTTGCTGTGAAATATTCAAACTTTCAATTTGCCGGCCAAAACACTTAGTCAAATTTTGCTTCTTTTCATTTCTCTCACAAAAAACACTCTCCACAAACTAACTCTCTGCAAATTATCTCTATGCCAAGTAGGGACGTTAAGACGGAGCTTTTTGTAGATGGCGCAAGACGATTGCAGATGGGTAAAGGAAACCTAGAAAATAATAGACCGTCGAGGTACTAAATGAGACTTTCTTCCACTTTCTTTCCTTTCGCTCTTTCTGGCTCCCGTGACCAGTTAAAGTAAGGAAGAATTAGCCACGGGAACTATGAAAAGGGTTCCAGACTCTCCTTTCTAAGAGTATCCCACCTTTCCTAGCATGGGGAGCGATTACAACCAGGAGGAGAAAGCCACAGCCGAATCCTTGATTTGTGAGTACCGATACCGATCCTCTGGCCTAGTCTGTTTGAGATTGAAATGGATATAGTAATAGTTTATAATTTGAGTGCACTTGTTGTTTAGCTTTATTCCTTTCGATTGTCTACTTGATTCATGTGACTATTTTGTTATGGATTTGTTGCCTATAACCTGTTCGATAAAATGTCTAGACAACCGAGAAACTGGTGAATCTTAGAAAAGTGATTACAAATAAATCTCATGTGACCAGATACTTCGTGTGAAAGAGTCTTAAAAGGATACATGTTGACAAGCCAGTGAAAGAGAGAAGCCTAGTTTATTCAATTTGAATTAATCATAGTTTACATGGTTCTGAGCGGTGAAACATTTTAGTTATTTGCATGTTATTACAAGCTCGACAATTACATCTGCCAAGAAAAATAAAAACTATGACTCCATTGAATTGTGATTAATGGTGGCTTGGTTTGCTAAAATAGGAAAAGTATGCCTGAGTTGGACTGGACAAGGTCGAGACTGATAATGGGGAAGGCAGAGCTGATGAGGCTGATATTGAATGACAAGGATGGTCACTTCCAAAAGCCTCCACAGAACCCTCTTGTGGACCTTTTAACCCTGGGAGTCTCAACCTTGGAAGGTGAGAAATGGGCCAAGTGTAGAAGGTTAATTACTCCTGCATTCCACCATGAGAAGCTGCAGGTAATCCCTGCTTTCTACTAGATTATTGTGGAATTTTTCTGATTTTTTCTACCCCACTGCAGTGTAAGTAATGCTTCGTGGAATGCATCATATCTTATTCTAGTAGGCTTTTGGCTATTTAGTTGGTGTCTTATAGACTAATGGTCGGAAGAGCAGGACAGACAATTTCTTTTTAGTACATTTGACCAAAAAGAATGTGAAACATAACTGAACATTCTTTAATTAAATGTATTGCAATAAAAAGAACTTTTTTGAGGTCAACAAGTTATGCTAAGGAAGAGCAAAAGTGCATTATCTTGATTAAGTTGCATGCCTAAACTGTTAATATAAATGAGCTTCATCCCTATGTACTTATGACTTAAAGAAAGCAGGGAATGGTGCCAGAGTTTTTAGCAAGTTGCTGCAACCTGATTGATCGATGGAAGATGTTGATTGCATCCGATGGATGGACTGAAATTGATATCAATCCTGAACTGCAGAGCCTTTCTACAGATGTGATTTCTAGAGCAGCCTTTGGAAGCAGCTATAAAGAAGGGAAGAAGATATTTGAGCTTCAAAAAAAGCAAGCAGTGCTGGATACATGTTGTCAAGCCAGTGAAAGAGAGTAGCCTAGTTTATTCAGAATTTTTTTTTTAAAAACCAAATGATTCAATCATTCCTTTCTTGTTCGGTTGTTTTTATTGTTTTGTAGTAAATTCCTTTCAAGTTTCTGTTTCTGTTCCTAATAACTGGCAATAATCTTCTGGTGACTAGTTGGAGCTTCTGTCCTTCTTGATCGTTGAGCTGTGCCTCGTCGAGTATGAAATGCTTAGATTCCCCCGTCTCTCTTAGCAATGGTAGCAATCTTTACTGCACAATGCTCTGTCAATGGGTTCAAGAAGTGGACTAAGACATGCGAGAGGCACAAAAACTACACTAAAGATCAGCTTTTGTAAGTGGTTCCTTATGCTTTTCACACATTAATGAATTTTATTGCTAGCTATGATGATCTAATGATCCCAACAAACTTTGTGCATAGGTGGAACCAGCTGAAGATTGATGGGGTATTCATGGTTATGATTGAAGGCTCTCATTTCATTGGAAAGTTTGGAAGCTATTGCAAGTTCTTTCTACTTGTTAGGGAAGAGAATATTTTAGTTTGTGCACATAAGGATCTTTTAGTTTGTGCACAAGAAAATCTTTCAAGTTTGTACTTGTTAGGGATTTGTTATGTTAGTACTTGTTATTGACTTTTAGTTCCATAAATTATATTTGAGCATTGACTTTTGTTTTTAGATTACTATATGCATTCTGTTCTTTGGGATAATTTTACAAGTCCTTTGGGTTTCTGATTGACGGAATGTATAGCAGAGAGCACTACCTACAGGTTACTTTTATATAAAAAAAAATGAAAAAAAAATTCCTGACAATTAAAAGTGTCAGCATAGAATTCGATATTCTAATGTTGTACTATACATATCCTGACACTTTCAATTATCAAGAAAAGGGATTTTTGTTGGCAGATGGGATGTTATAACAACATAGTTTTCCTGACATGTTGAATAGTATGGGTCTATCCCCACATTGGAAGGGACAACACTCGCCCTAGGTGTGAGGATAGATAAAGTGTCAGGTTAAATTATCTATACTGACACTTTTAAATGCCGTTAAAGGCCATTTTTGTTGTAGTGGGATCACGTCCGCCCGGTGCTTCTCTCAACAATCGGGCATTCTTCTTCTGGTATTCAGCGACATCAAAGCCCAGCTTATGAAACAGAGTTTTGCTGTCAACTGAGGGATAATTCTCAACAATAACTCTTGCATTGCAACTCATGAGAAATCCCCAGAAATTTAACATCATGAAAAAGATCAAAATGGTTGCTTTCCAACTCATTTTAACAGCCTTTTTTTTTTTTGCTTTACCTATCAAGAGTCAACTATCAACTATTGTGCAGTGATGTGAGGATGGTGGTGGTCGTTTATATAGGGGGCATTTCTTGATTTGTTTTTGATTCATTTTTAATGCCGAATTGATGAGACTTAGCCAAAAGGGAAAAGCGGATTGTCCATGTTCAGTGACATTGAGTAACAAGATTTAGTGGATTGTATGTCAATTTCATCTACAACAGATTTTATTCCTTCTATGGAAGATAATAAAATGTGCCACTTACCTTCTTATAATACATGGCCATATACATTTAACTTGCCATTTTCACTTACATGGAAAAAATAAATAAAGGCTGGTAAATTACATTTTAGCGTTCTTCTAACAATTATTGCTAACAATTATGTATATAGGTACTAACAATTATTGCTAACAATTATTACTACCATATATATACTAACAATTATTACTTTTTCTTACATTTATATAATTTTTCTAATTAATCTTTCACTTTTAAAAATCTAATATCTAAGTGCTTGTTAAACATCCATTAGACAGACCCTTTATTTACACGTGGACAACTAAATTTAGGGAATGAATGTGGCACGTATACCGTCTAAGATTAAAATATGTTCATCCATTTTTTTCACGTCTTTCAGGAAGGTATTACCTATGATTAATCAAAAGCTTAGATAAAGGTCGACCCTAGATATCTTTTTTATCATTTATCTATCAGCAAATTCCTCCACATTCATATATGTTTGCTGATAGATAAAAGAGAGGAAGACTGGCGACAATTAGGAAAATAACGCAAAAGAAGCTTAAAACTAGCTCTTAGTGTCCCTTTGGCTTCCAAGAGTTCAGAGTAGTAAAAGCTCTTGCGGAGTAATTAACTTGTCAAAGATAAATTGATCACACATTGTCCTCTTGATTATAGATTGAGGATTCAAATCAGAAGTGTTAGTGCATTCTCTTGGCATGATTGGGCCTTTTCTTGTGTTAACTCGTTCCTTTGATTTTTTTTTTTTAAATTTGATGGTGTACAAGTACACGATAATCACACGCAAAAAACAAAAAAAAAGTCCATGTGTTAATTATTATTCATCTTTAAATTGCATACACTTCCGCAGAAAGACGCACGAAAGCACACCCACTTCTTATCAGCATCTAAAATAAGCTTGTCAATCGGACCATCTGAGTTGAGTTTTAACCAGTTTAGACTTGACTCATATAGTTAGTATCACTTGCAGGTTTCGGATTATGAGTTTCAAGTTGATAAATGTGAAATTCATATTCAACTTACAAAATATTCAAATGTGAGCATAATTCGGATTTAAACCAAACTCATGTGTTGCGCCTTAATTTACTTGATAGAATTAGTATACCTATTAAGTTCTAAAGCTAATTTAACATCCACAGGACCACAATATTAAAATTATATACAAATCAGTAATAGTTCATTAAAAAGTATATAAACTAAGAATTTTTCAACAATAATATATCCAATTAGTTCAAAGTACATGAAAAATAATAATAAAATATGATCAACAGTCATTACATTTTCAAAAGTCCTCAATTTGCTCGTACTAAAATTCATCCTTCTGAAAATTTTGATCTAATTTTGTATATTTAATATTTCTTATATATTAATATATTTTGACACACACACAGACACACACACACATATATATATATATCAAAATATGAATATATTATATATAATTATACATAGATGCAGATTAGAGGGTCGGATCTATATCGAATTTGAGTCTAATAAAGTTCAAATTCAGTTCACATTTAATTTGAAACTAATATTTAGGTCTAACATCAACCCAACTCAATGAAAGGTTAGGTTCATCGAATTTTTTTTGAGCCGAGTTCGGGATGGCCCGATCCCATTGACGGTCCTGATCTAAAATCCGAACCCCTTTTATTTGGCTTGTGATGATGGACTACCTATCTCGCTAACCCCACAAGTACAACATCCTTATACTTCCGTGGAAAATTAGCATTGCATTTAACAATTTTTTATGTCTTGAAGCATTTAAAACAAATCGAACAATGACAAACCAATTGAACTTATCAACTGAAAATCTGAGATTATTTAGGAGATACGACTTAGGAAAAAGCCAAAAAAAAAAGTTAAAATAGGTAGCCATTGATATTCAAACACATATTTTGTTTCAATTTTGGAACAATTTTATTGGAATAAATGCAGTAAGTGCATCAGAACATCAAATCCATGCAAGACACAACCATGCATATATGCCTCAATTGCAAATACATCTAGTTATCTGAAGAGATTGTTGATGATCGTTTTGGTGGTGGTGGAACAATATTGTGGAGAGGATTTGGTCCACCGGGTACTTCTCTCAACAATCTTCCACTCGTCATCTCCTTCTTCAAAGCCGAGAGATCAAAGTCCATTTTCTGAAACGTAGCTGTGCTGTCAATTTCACCATCCTTCTTCTGCAACAGAACTCGTGCGTTCAAGCCCGTGGGAAATGCACAAAGAGCAAGCATCATTAGAAAGATTAACGTTGTTGCTTTGGATATTTGATGATGAGAAGCCATTTTTTTTTCGTACTTAATAGATGAAATACTATTGTGAACTTTGATGTAACAGCTACTCCAGGTGACCTTTTATAACGGGGTTTCCTTTGTTTTTTGATCAGTTTGGACGAAGATTGCTTAAATGGAGGAATTTAAGATTGTATTGATTGAGCAAGGATTTATGCACATGCCATAATTTCTTCTATAATAAAGTTTCCTGATCTTTTCTGCTAGAAAAATAGTGATAATAAATCTCAAAACATCATGTAACCGATAGTTAAATTTAAGAACTCCGTTTATTTCGTTTCACGATATCGTCTTAATGGTCGGTCGGGATTGCACTCTTGTATTGAAGATTACAATCAATTTCAAGACCATATCTCTAAAACAGAATTTTTAGGATTTTTCTAGACAGCATACACCCGATTTACGTCAAAATTACCATAGAGATCCACACCTCATATTTATTGCATCCACAGTATTTAAACGCTTACTCAATTAATAGGATTGTCAGTGGGACGGAATCAGTTTGATTTCAACCCACTCATTTAGGAAGAAATTAAGGCGAAATCTCGTGCTTAACTGGGTCTAATAGAATTTGGGTCTAACTATAGAGTAAAATTTAAATGTGAGCCAAACCTGAGCCTTATTAGTCTCGATCTGGTTAAAATCCGATCCAAGTAATAATTTGTTTAAATATTTATAACATAGACAATAATGTGTATAATTTATGGTTAAGTATATTATAACGTAAAAAATTAACAATTTATACATAGTCATATAACAATACATAAATATTAAACATATGTTTTATATAATTACGTATTTAATTGTGAACTTTGGTCAAACCTAATTTAAGCCCAATGCTCTAATTAATTTGTGAGTCGAGTATGAATCCTTTCGGCTTAACTTGGGAGTTCAGGAGAGGAGAGAAAAGAAAAGAGAGGATAAGTTGTAAAAGAAAAGAGGAGAAAATATATAATTTTCTTCTCAAGTTGATTGAGAGTTTAGGAACAAGAAGAATGATTTTGGACACAATCGATATTATGGTTTATTGTTTAATATTTTATGAATATAAGTTGGCATTTTGAAAATGTTTAAAAGGTTAAGTGAAACTTTTCTTCCCATTTTCGAGAGGAAAGTTTTTTAACCAATCTATCTCTCCATTTCCTACCACTTTCTTTTCTTTTCTTCCCACTTAAACTCCCAAACAAGAAAAACTTTAAATTAAACTTTGAATTTTCCTACTTCTCTCTTCTTTTCTCTCCAAATCTCAATCTCCAAACTAAGGGTGCATTTGATAAATTTGAAATATGAAACTAAAATTTGAATTCTAAATTCATTAAGTTACTGAATTATTAAGTACTAAATCCCTGTTTGATACCCAATTTAACATTTAAATTTAATTGATTCAAATCTTAATATGTTCAAATGCATTTGATAACAAAAAAATAGTACATTTGGATTTATTAAGTGGCACTGAATTTTTTAGGCAAAACTTGCTTCAAAATTAAGTAATGAGCTATTTACTTATCACTTAATGTGATATACATTCAAATGTATCAGATTTTGTACTCAATAATTTAGTAACTTAATGAATTCAGATATCAAATTTCATATTTTAAATTTCAATTTTCAAACTTGAATTTAAACTTCATATTTTAGATTTTAGTTTTATCACATGTACCCTAAATATGTATCATATATTTGAGTATATATCACATTAGTAATAAGTGAATAATTTATTACTTATTTTTAGAAGTAAGTTTCAATTAGTAAATTTAGTGACATTTAATTAATTCAGATATTGTGTTTTTTGTTATTAAACGCATCTAATCTTGTTAAGATCTGAATCCATTTAATTTAAGTGATGAATGGAACAAGATCTGTGTCTTAATATGAATCCGAGTGCAAAAGCCCAAAATTTCAAAGGCTATATTTCTTTTGTGAGTCGAGCTTCAATTTGTCAAAATCTGACTCACAAAGCCGGACTGATAGCCCTACAAATTAACAATACTCTAGTAAATAATTACACTCGAGGCCTCTCTAAGGGAGTACCCCTTTGGATACCCATTAGTGAAACCTTTATTTGTATACTCCTAGGATATAAAGAGCGCTGAAAAAGTTGCAAGTTTCTTTCCAACTCCAGTCCAATGTCAATCCTCACAAAGAACCAGAGTACCAAACACTGAGTAGAACCACCAGGCACTTGAAGACGTGAAGAATGAATGTGAAGCAACTGGCAACTCTCCGAAATGGGCAACTTTGACATTCCGGTGGCAACATTACTATGCATTTCGTCCATTTGTTTTGGGGAGCCAAATTACAATTAAATACAAAACAAACTCAGATGCTTTTTATAAATCATGAAGGTTTACAGAAAGAAAAGTAAAAGCCTTACATTGAGAACCAAGAACACAAAAAGAAATAGAATCTCAAACATAACATTACTAAAAAGCCTTATGATGACGATGTCAAGTTTAGAGAACTAAGCCGGCATTTGTAATAACGAACTGCCATGCAGACTTCTTAACCTAAATGAAGAGCCTTACACGTTGAAATAAGCGTTGCCAGAAAATTATGACTCCACTTTTTCTGCTTAAACTACAAATGTGAAGCATCATAGATCACGCTGACTCACTCCTTGATGGTCATGATAAGTGGCTGATGTTTTCATCTCCATTATGCTGGCAAAGATGCTGAAGAAATGACTACCTAAATACGCTTGAAGTTCAAGATAGTAACCAAATTTGAATGGACTACTTAAAGGTGACCAAGCAGAACAGGATAAGTTGGAGGCTTCAATAGTCAATACGAGGCCATCAATTATTCAGAGCAGACCAAATAGTCTAAAAGATTTTCAAGCACAATGACGCCACTCAAAGTGGACATCTTCTAGTTGGTTTGTTATCAGAAATTGATGACACTGTTGAGGGATGGCTAGGAGATGGTCTATCCTATTGTCATCATCCTGATAATGATTTTGCACACTAGTGCTTTCAGCATCACAAACTGCTTGTCATAGATTTGTATCTACCAAGTCCAAAGACCAAATTTATTTCCCAATCTAGTAATACAAACGGAGTGCTTTCTGCCAAACCTTGTGATAAGCTAGAACTAAATTCTTTCTTCCCACCACTCAGTGTGGTCAATAATCATCCTCAGATTTGCTCTGTCCCTCCAGCAGTCATGGGATAGCATATTTCATTTGGAGGCGACCACTTTGTTTATCATGACTACAACAGTAACAAATCTGAGTTGCCATCACCAGTAACATTAACAAATCAGTGAGTCAAACGGATAGACAAGGACAAAAGATAAAGTATAAATTCCAACTTTCATGCCTCTAAGAGGACAATAACTATTTTCTAGAACAAATTATTAAAAAGAAAAGGCCCAAGGTTCAGAGGGCTGGAAAAAATGGAAACGAAAAAAAAGAAAGACTAAAAACAAGCAAACACTAAATGAACAAAGATGCAAGCAAAGGATATCAACAAACAACAAAAGGGAAAGGGTATAGTGGACGCAAGAGCACTCCCTTCAATGACCATGTGCATTCGTCCTGCATAAGTGGTTTATAAAAAGGAGGCAAAACACTGCAGAGGATCAAAGCCTTATTTTGCTTCTAACTTCATCACTGAAGGATCAAATTCTGAAAGGAACACAGTGACACAAACTAAAGAAAAGTCAAATCTGTCAACCAGAAGAGGGCAGATCAATTTCACCAATATATGGATTTACGCTCATTATCTTTGACTTGTATAATTTTAGACCCATTTGTGATATTGAAGTACTTCAAGACTTCTATAAACAACCTCTTGCATGCCAATACAATTACCTCACACTGATCTCTGTGTAAGCAGAGTAGAATGTCAACTCATTTGCTCAAGGCTATTTACATGAGAAGGGCCACATTATGTGTGGTTCTTTTTCTCTTGCAGCCTTCAAGAAAGCTACGCCAAACAAGTGCATTTGGCGGGAAGGGCATCCCAGCAATTAACTCTTCAGCTTCTCTTAGATTGCCATATCTAGCCAATAAGTCAACGGCGAGGAGGTAGTGATCCATTTCTGGTTCAACTCCATACTCCGGTTTCATTTTCTCAAATAATTCCAACCCCTCTTTTACTAATCCCACATGCCTGCATGCCGAAATAACAGCAATTAAAGCAACCTTATCTGGCATGAAGCCCTCCGCCTCCATCTCTTTGAACTTTTGTAGTGCTTCATGAGCATGACCATGTAATCCAAGGGCTGAAATAATAGCAGTCCATGTAATAACATTCCTGTTTGTCATTTCATTAAAGATCTTAAATGAACACCCCAGGCTCCCACATTTTCCATACATATCAATCATTACATTGCAGACAAACGTGTCACAGCATTTAATATCAGTCTTAAAAACCAGACCATGAAGAGACCTTCCCAAAGCCAGGTTGCAAAGTTTGGAACAGATACTAAAGAGGCTAGCATAAGTGTAATTGTCTGGTCTTATCTTAGCTCTCTGCATATGATCAAAGAGATCAAAAGCTTCTCTATAATCACCATTTCGAGAACAAGCTGCAATTAAGATGTTCCAAGACACAATATCAGGTTCCTCAAGTGCAGAATATAGTTCTTGAGTCTTTTCATACTGCCTGGTTCTATTATAAATACCAGCAATCACATTGGAAGTGACTACAGAAATCGGTGTACACTTAGCATCCACAAATTTCAAGGCATCATCTATAAATCCATTTTTGGCATATGAACTGATAAGAGAGCTGGATACGTACTCATTATCATGATAGCCCATCTTTATTATGAATGAATGAAGCTGCTGCACCTCTAGGCCTACAGATGATTTAACAACACTAGAAAATGAAAACTCATTAGGACGATAGCTGCAGTGAAACATTTCTCGGAGTAGCAAAAGGGCAACAGAAGAGTTTCTATTTGAATAAGCTGCCATCAAAGAGTTCCAACAAACCAAATTCTTATGAGATATTTTGTCAAAACAAAGAAGGGCAATTTCCAATTTGTCATGTTTTGCATAGAAGTCAATCAAAGCACTGCCAACATATACGTCAGATTCCAAATTTCTCTTGATTATCTTAGCATGAATACATTTGCCATATGATGGGTCCTTCAGGCAAAGGCAGGAGTGTAGAACACTCACAAATGTCGTCTGGTTAGGAAAGGTTCCATTTCCACACATTTGCAAAAAGGTTGAAAATGCTTTATCTGGCCTATCACTTTTTGTCATTGCTCCAATGATAGTGTTCCATGATACAACATCCTTAACACCATTCTCCTCAAACATTTTCCCCGCTGAGCACATCTCCCCACACTTGGCATACATATTAATCAAAGAATTAGCCACTGAAACTGAGTCTTCAAACCCATACTTGACCACTAAGCCATGTATTTGTTCTCCCAGTTCCAAGTCAAATTCCCCAGTAAAACCAGCTAAAACACCTACAAAAGTCGATTGAGACAATTCCACTCCACTTATCAAGAGTTCAAGGAACATCTCAGTTGATTCTGTAACAAATCCGTGCTGCCCAAACAGAGATATCATACAATTCCATGTCACCAAGTTCTTTATAGTCATGTCCTCTAAAACCCGAGTGACTTCATCTAAACATCCATGACTCCCAAACACACCCAATAATGCAGTACCAACTATTGCATCAGCATGTAAAAATCCACTCTTTACAATCAATGCCAACAGTTGAAACCCTTGAACAAGATTCATCAAAGCAGAAGACAAAATGCCGCCAAATGTGAATTGTGTAGGCTTCAATCCTAAAATTCTCAGCTCACGGAACAACTTCCAGGCTTCCTCCAAAATACCATTTCGATTATAAGCTTTGATCATAGTATTATACGACACGACATTTCTTTGCGGCATTTTGTCGAACAGTTTACGAGCTGTAACAACTTCACCCAAAGAAGCGTACTTTGAGATGATAGTATTGTAAAGAACAATGGGTTCTGTTGGGTTTGGACCCATTGTAATTGTGATTGCATGGAAGGCTTTGATTGCGTTGACTGATTGAACCCTTGTGGGTTCTTGAAGTAGGTCAATGAGTCTCTGGTGTGTGACATTTTCTCCATATAAATGTTGATGAAGATGCAGGTTTTGGAAGGAAATGGAGTGATAAAGCTTCTGAGTGGAACAGAGGTGAGTAATTCCACAAAATAGTGGTAAATTCTTTGATGCAATTGAAGTTGTCTTTCTCATGCAGCAGAGGTTTTAAGTTTTAACAATAAAATGGCATGCCTATTTTGACTGCGTTGAGGAACCGGCTACTTAATTAAACCTATTATGAGTAATTTAGTTCCTATATTTTATTCTTTTTCTGGGTGAATCCCTTTTAAAATTTTGGCATGAAACCTAAAGTTTTATTTTGGATGTCGTATTTTAATTGTAAAAACTAACCTATGTTGTGCTCTATTATCCTTTTTTTTTTTTCAAAACAAAATACAGAATGTATTAAGTGTCTAATCCGAGGTTCCTTGTAAGAATAGTGACTTGCTAATGTAAACAGAGTAAATTACCATTTGCGCATAAATTTAAGGTAAACAAATTGCAAGGCCTTTACTTGGTATCTTATCTGAGTAAAATGCATTTCTTTTTTCGTTGTGGGTGAATGTTAATGACAGTTGGAGAAAGGTATATGCAAAGAAAGAAGACTATTCAAAAGTTTCCACCTTCCACTGCTTTGTTATGGCGATTCATTATAAAATGTTGCCTCTGAGTTGTTAAATTGCTGGCTTTATTACAATTTATACACTCACTCAAGCGAATTTGGAAAACCTCTGCCATTCTTAAGTGTTTGCAGATCGGTTAATATTCTTGGTCCAACTTCTGCTGCATGGATGCCTTCTTGCAGTAATTATTATTTCATCTATAAATGGTAAAAGGTTCCTTCTTCCAGATGCTGCCTGGTGGTACTAAAGTACCTAATATTGTATCAAACTTCATTAAGCTTCGAGAGCTTTTCAAGCATGCCCTCTATTTGGAAGAAGAAGAAAAGGTGTCTTTCATGCATCAGATGGACAGTAGACGTCCATTTCATTATCCTAACTTCCGAAAGCAAACTATTACCTTTTCTTGCTGACTTTACAGTTAGCCATGTGAGCGTAGATATAAGAAACTGAAACGTACCTGCACCAGCTTGATGATCATTTATAAACAATCACATTTTTAAGTACTACTTTCCTGGCAAGCATTTACTCTTTAGTTAGTTCAGTCATATGTCATGACGGCTTTCAATAAAGTGCCACAAGTGAAAATGCTATTTTTATTATGAAGAGGTTAATAAAAACATTTTAACAAAGTTCACATGCATTGCACATTCTTATTATCAAAACAAAATCATGTAACAGTGGATGTGCATGCAGAAGGATTATAGCACATCTTCTGATCTAATTTCAGAAAGAATGTTTCTTCACTCCGCCAAAAGTACGTTACTATGGATTTGAAAAGTGATGGTAGGGATCAGGTCCTCCGGGACTGGAACGCGCAGGCTGGTAATGACCTTCACTGCTGCTGTCAAATTGATAATCTTCCTCTAGTACTTTCCTTCTGTCAAAAAATGCCCGGAATTGCTCGGTTATTTTCACTCTGTGATGAAATGGTGAAAGAGGCCGAGCTTCTGACCCCATTGCCAAAAGCAGAAAAATGGCAATGGCAAGACACAAGAAAAACTTCGAGCAAGACATTATTGGCTCTTGGGGGTACTAACTAACTCTGGCAGGAGTTGGGTATCAGATGATCTTAAGCCCTGGTATATATAGATAGTTTCCTACTCTTAAGCTGAAATGAAGTGGGAGACGAGTTCAATGCAGCCAATCTGTTGAAAGATAAGAGAAGTCCAAGTCATTGGAATCAAATAGAAGGTTATCAACCTTGGATCTCATGCCCATCATTCTGAAACTATAATGAATTTGTAGACATTGGTAAGGATATTTAAAATATAAGCAAGCAACGTGTATATCTAGTCAGCGAATGTTTGTCTTGTTAGCTCTTAATGACATCGAATAGCCCCAACTCTGACCTTGTAATGGAGTCTACTCTCAGAACTTCCTCTGTGATGCATCCAAAGGTCAATGTCATACAAAAATGTGGCTTCTTGTGTGCGGCACTTTATCTCCACTTCCTCTTATAAAGGTCGTCATCGTGATGTAGAGTTAACTATATCCACATTGCATTTGAATCTAAATTAATGCAGTCAAGGACTCAAAATTTTAAGATAGCTGCAACTCCTGCACCTGACCATTAAGAAGCAGAACAAAGGACCAATGCTTCTCTAGAAGCTGTTAAACAGACTGTAATTATTGTTGTTGTTGTTGTTGTTTTGGTCAAACCGGGACAGTTAATTGATTGTGATTAATTCCTACAAAAATTTTGCAGGATATCAGGCAAATGCCCGCGATTAGCCTATAGTAACTGTGACATGCACTGCAGGAAGTTCAACATCAGTATCCAGTTTTACTCCTAATTGGGTATACATCTACTTATCCATTTACTGATCTATGCGAAGAGGAAAAGGAGCTCAAGTCAAAGAAAGCACTGAACATCATGACTCTTAAGAATATATCTCAATTTCTAGTCTTTAACCAGATGTTCTTTACTGAGTCCAGTAACATTGTGTTTGAATCTTCTAGGAATGAATATCACCAATAAAGATTAGAATTTTCCATCACTTGCAGCAAAAAAGGAGTAAAACCTACAGAACTTTTGCAGAAACAGGCTCATTGGATGAAATGTGAATAGAAGTATATGCTCAAAGGGTACAACTATGTGACCATACACTGTAGGAACTCTGTATAGGGTAGTTTGGTCAGGCATTTTTGACTTGCCTTTCATTTGAGGCATCTTATAGCATGAGATATGTGGCTGGTCTTTACTGTCTAGACACAATGACAAATCCATACCAAGTTCTCAAGAATCGACATTAACCAGAGACAATGTAGCAACTATTCATACTGAAGGGGAAATAAAAACACCAATGCCACTATTAAAGACTACGAAATTCTGGGTACATTCTTTTAGATCAGTCACAGAAGGAATACCTATTTCCTTTCTGAATCTAATATTTCTTGTTCTGAATTGATATGAGCATTATTTTGCACTTTCCTCATTATTAATCTATGTGCACTAAGAGCATAACTTATTCTTTTTCAGTCATTAGGTTGACAAAGAAGAAACTGAGAAGACAAACAGTGTGGCTAAGATTGAGGTTCCAAAAATTAGAGATCCTGTGTTCTAATCCCTCTATCCCCTCCCTGCTTCTTAAATCCCACCCTCCCCTGCTGCAAAAAAAAAATAAAGAGAAGACAAACAGTGAAAGGAATGCTAGTTAGGAAGTAATGATGCCAACTAATCATTCACGCTATTTGCTGTACATGAATAGATTTATATGTATAACGCATCTAAAGTGCATTGCACAATCATTTTTACTGTTATCTACTCTTGTTTAACTTGCCAATCCTGTTGTCACTTAATTATATAAAGCATTGAAGAACAGCCTAGACATGGCCAGTAGTTGCAGTAGCATTCATGATTTCTTTATTCAGCGTTGTTTATCAACATATATTGGCTCATAAAAAAGCACTTAAAGTGCTATTGTTTGATGAATTACTGTAATACCAACAGAAAACCTGAGAAACAAGACAAATGCCTACATGTAACAGACTTTTCCTCGTCAGTTGATTAAGAGAGACAAAGTTCATGGGACATCTTATGACTGAGTTTTACTGCATTATCAAATTGCTTAGTGACCGCCCTTATAAAGCCTTTTCCACTTGAAAGTCATTCTTTAATTGATGCTGGAAAGAGACTCCAATGGCATACTCAAGAGAGATATGATGTCAAATGCTGTTGCAACTCGCTACCTCAAGTAAATAAATCGGCGGTGGCTGCACTTTTCAACCATGGTTCGCCGTATCGGCTAATACCGATACATATCGGCCGAGTCGTAACTGGAACGGAGGGGATCGGTACGAGTCCGATCCCTGAATCGCGAATATTACTATATCTACGACGACTCGCTCTGACTCGACCAATATTGGCCGATTCGAATCCGTGATGCATAATATCGGACGATATATCCGAGTCAACTCAAAGTCGAGTTGGATATTTTTTTTAAACTGTGACTTTTTTGATATTTTTCAATTTTAGTAATTTTTTCAAAATTTTTGGAAACTTTCATGCGTTATGATGTGTGTATCACCCGATATTCAACCGATATGTCGCGATGAATGTAGAATAACCGAAACAGCGGCGCGACTGCGACCCGCGACGTCGAACCATGTTTTCAACAGTGTCTGCATCAATTCTTCACAGTTCCCAGTGCTGTGCTAGTAATGACCTTTTTAAATTTCAGCGTCACCAAGATCTTGCACTTTTTTCATCTAGAAATCTGACTCTTGTGATCACATAACATAGCCGATCACAAATTCATGGCTTTCTTGAATTAAAATAACAGTGCGTACGAACACAGGTTCATTGGTCCAAGAAACCTTTTATCCGGGAAACATCCAAATTCTGAAGAAATAAACATAACGTGGTGCATGATCAACTTGAAACTGACCTATCAATTTTGACTCTGGAAGAACTTTTGATTGGCCTAATAAGCACTTGATACATGAGGACAGAAAGAATAAGACAGCACAGTAGTAATCAGTATGTCCTGCGTTCAAAGATATGCTAAAAGCTAAATGTTAATTTAAGTCCAACTAGCTTCCACTTCCAGACTTTTTGTAGCTTTAACTGGTCATGTATTCCTGATCAATTGGAATTTATAGTTGTGGGATTGTGTTTGTCTGAACGAAGATGTATATTATTCAAGAACATATATATATATGTATATACACACACACACACACCTTGCATTTGAATAGCCATATCATGTTAGTCCTCCATTCTGTTCAACATGATCTCAATCCAAATTCTTATCAAGTTTCTTGATTCAAATATTTGATCCTTTTTTTTTCTGAGTATTTGAGACCTAAGAGTCCTCATAGTGTCTTAGTGGTATGCCTTATCTCAACTTTTAACCTACTGCACTCAAAGCATATCTCACAATACTTATTTATGAATCTAGTCTTAGATCTTAAAAAGTAGCTAAATTTTAATACAACCTACTAAATTTAGTAGTGGTTATCCCCTTATTAAAAAGATGAATTTTAGTACAACCTACTAAATCTGGTTGTGGCTATCCCCCTTTTTAAAATACTTGAGCATTGTAACATACTCTTTGTTAACACAAGCGGAGATAAAA